CCATACCCCCACTCGCTCACTACTGTGTGTCGGCTCCTCGCGATCACCGGCATCGTTGACAGAACAGTTTTTTCCTATGCCATTCCATGTTTGCGAAATGCCCCTTCCCTCGGCCCACTTAAGCAAAGCATCAGCGTAAAGACGAAAACCTAGGTACCGGAGGTGTGGTAGCATTTAAATATGCTTTTCCCGCCCGTAGAATCCAGCAGATCAACAAAACGCAGGTCCTGTGTGGATGAACAGTCGCAGCTTCCAAGCCATGCCAGACAGTTCAGACCAACACAAAGCTTGCACACACCTTGCTTAGAGAATAGAGAAACAGCTCACCGTATATCCGCATGTCCACTAGTTCCGTGTAGGCTTCGAAGGAACAAGAGGAACATCGCGCTCCATCCCTGGTGTGCCAACAGGCTGTACCGAGACCACAACGGCGACTACCGGGCCATTGCTGCCAAACTATGCTTGGATGGTGCCCCTTGCTTCTTGTGGATGTGGTGATGTGGTGTGTTTCTACCTCGAGCACATAGCCTGGAAGGAGAGCAGCTCTACATCAATCACGATGGCATGATGCCGGATGGAAAACCCGAACGGGCCGTGTGAATCCAGGCAATGCTTCCATGTTAGCATCATACAAGCAAACAGCAGGGAAGGTCTTGAGTTCCTGCAAGAACGAAGAGGGCAGACTAAGCGATTGACCGTCTCCGTTGACCTGCGAATGCACTGCAGGCATCGTTCCTGCGACGGTCCTGAGCTTCTCACACCGGGCGGGACAAGCTTGAACGGGTGTCGTTTTGGAGATGTGCAAACAACAGGAAGTGAGTAGAAACTCGTTCTCTTCGAGACTCTGCAAAGCTTCTCCTTTTGGCAGCCCAAGTTGGCTGAAGCCAACTGTCTGTGTCACCCTGATCTCAGAGGGTTCCTCAATTCAGCAATATCATGGAAGTCAGCTTCGTTGCGAAATGCGAAACATCATTTATCTTCAAAGAGGGATCCCAACGTCAGCTCAAGGCTTGACGTGCTGCTGAGATGCTTCAGTGCTTGTGGTTGAATAGTGCTCCGGGGCGCCAAAGCACTCGGCTTGCTTCCATTGGTATAAGACAGCATGCAGCAGAGTTGAATTGGCAGATCGCTTCTCCCGCCTAGCCCACGCTGCTCGACGTTGTGGGGTAATGCCAAACTTTCGTCGACTGCTTGGCACCTCTTTTGACTGAGCTAGTGCCTGGGCTGAAGTGAGCAGCATATCACGCGAGCTGTGCGGATTGCGACTGTGACGGTGGGCCAAGGTAAGCTCTGCAGGCCCCAGCTTCTTGGCTTTTGGCAAGTGAACCAGATGATCCAGTCAAAGTGTCAAAAATCACATCAAAACGAGGAAGCAGAAACAAGAACCTGCATGGACCTCGGATAAGCCGGGATACCGGGTCTCCTTGCTTGCTTTTTATTATGCCAAGGATCCGGCCAGCCTTGTCATCTGAGAGATCCAACGTTGAATTTCGCCAGCGCCTCGAGTTCAACATTGTTCACGTGTTTCCACGGCTTCTGCACCATTGCTCCCTGCGGGCTCTTGGTACAGGCTGCTTCCCAAGATTTTTGTCGGCACATCGCTGGCTCCCTAGTTTGCCCAGTTGGAGTTTTGCGAGCAGCAGGAACCAGGCCCGTTTGACTTGTGAGGTCAGTCCCAGCCCCTCAAAGGGGCTTCGGCATGACTGCTTAGTTTCGAGTGTACAGGCCGGAGGTTGTTCACGTCGCGGCAACTCTCAAACTGTTTCTGGTCAGGTCAGGGAAGAACCTCTCTGCTTGGGCAGTTTCCTTGGGCTTGGGCGTGCTGTGCCATACCAGTGAAAAGTGCCCATCCTGTAGGTTGCTGTGAGTTGGCTGCAGAGCAGCCCAGATCCCAGAGAGATGCCAGGATAAGACAGGAATTCAGACGTAGACTCCGTCAATGTCTAGGTATCACCCGATTTTGGAGAGCCACGGACTCTGGACCTTGCAACACACCAAAACGCTCCATACAGGCACAGCTGACGAAGAACGAGCTAGATGCACAAGTTCGCACCAGCTCACGCCTGAAGGAATCGAAACTTCTTTCAACGCTCTCCTAGCCGGTGGCTCGGAGCATTCAGGAAGCCGGGCAATCTGACGATGTTTCCAGTCTCTCGACTCAGGCAATCGCTTCTCCGCTACGCTTTCAGGCTCACGGGTGCTTCCCGTCTTGGATCAGGTGCTTCATTCCTGTCGCTCCTTTGTTCCGATTTGTTATTGAGATGGGTTCGTTATTGAGACGGGGCCAAGCCTGCGCTCCAGCCCGGTCCAGGTAGTGGAATGAGTTCTGCAGGCGAGCGGGCAGGCGCGTGGCCGTAAAATGTATCTCCCCAGCAGCGCATATCAGAATGCCTTGGATGGGTAAGAACATGTAAGAACAGATGAAGATTTGATATCTTCCGGGTGCTTTTCTTCTGCTTCTCGGGAGTTTTCGGTCTCCGTTTTTGCCCTCTGCTCCGTTCTGCCGACGACTGCTCCCGAACCTACTGACCGTTCCTGTCTACAGTTCTTGTGGGTCTGGGTGCTCAGGAGTCCTGAAAACTCAAGAGGCCTGTGGCTTAAAGTTGGATTTCTTTGTGTCGGGCAGATTCTTTAAAATGGGTGCAGAGGTGCCCGGTCGAGCAAGCACCAAAGCTCGCCAGCACTAGCAACGGAGTGTTTGGGAGGTGTAACAACCATTTCGTGCAGTACTGTACTAGTAGCACAACGAATCCAGCGGCAGTCTCCTTTCTGCTGATGTTGTTCTCTTTCGGAAGACCCAACTTCAACTGGCTTGCCGGTTTGTGCTGCCAAGATCTGCTAAGTTTGAAACCCCTGTGACCGCAAGCCCAAGATCTTACCGGTACGCAGTCCTGCCCCCGGTTGGTTGTCATTTTCTTGCCTTGATTCTGTTCATGAAGTGCTGTTGCACGGCTGCTTCGGCAAGTGGGGAAGCAGTCTGGTGCTGCGACGCGCATGGGTTGTGTCGGAGGCATTTGCCAACCATGAATCAGTTGCAAGGGCCGCACGCAAGCACAACATCGAGTCCCACTACGAGATGGTTTGCTCGCCTCCTTCGTTGAATCACGCCTTCCTTTCGGACAAGCATAAGGCAGAATGTCATGCCAGTCCTCACCAACAAACGAGGGGACGAGAAGGTCATCGTGCAGCCCCGTTGCCAATCCAGACAAGCTCTGAGGAAGACTTTCCTGGACTAGTATGGACCGGTGACACGTCCTGCACAGCACCGCTAGCAGATCAGGACCTGGATCGGACGTGCACCATTCCTCTGCACATGCGACTGGACGCGAGAGGCTCAGGGAGCCAATCCTGCTCAGCCGAAGTGGCCCAAAGGTTTGCAGCAAGAAAGTCATGAAGTTTGGCACATGTTGGCACGGGAACGATTTGGTTGGACGTGTGGGTCAGACCGAATCGGACTTATGCTCAACGACAGATCTGGCTGAACTCGTGATCCCCAGAGGTGCGTTTGGAGTTCGGCATGATGAAAGGTCCGATGCATGCGCGGCGATAGAGCACGGATTAATGCGATATCAGTTTACTGCACCCTGAGCGGCACGAGCATTAATCATGTGGATATTCATAGGGTCAAGTTCTGTGCCACGGGCCTTGAGATGCCAGAATGACAGCTCGAATGGGAGCAGAATTCTGCTGGGGCCCTCAAGGCAGACGTGACCAAGGCGCATGGACGGGTTAAGGTCCTCAGCCCAGAGTGAAGGAATCAAGTGGCAAGAATACAAGGAGAGTAGCGGATCAATAATGTATCAAAGTCGGCAATTGGGATGGCAAGCACGCAGCTGCACTGGGGTCGGCTTGCAGCCATCTTGCGTTGTCTTCCCCGAAGTTGATTTTCCTTGATGATTATGCAGGGCTGCTTGGCAAGGCCACTGCGCATATCCCTGCAACTGCCTTGTGACTCCTTCTGTTGGCACGGGGCACCCCCCTCAATGAGAAGACACTGCTTGCTGGGATAAACACATGGCTACTCGTAGGTTTTTTGTGGTTGGCCCGAAGTGACTGTTCATTCAAAGTGCGAAGGACAAATGCTCCCCCGTGATTCGCGTCTGGAAAACCTGCAAGAAAGTTACCCTTGGTTAGCGACAACCAGTGGAAAGTGTACTCATTGCTGAATGACAAGTCCAAGAAGATGCCCACCTCGATCATCCTGATGGAGATCCCTCGGCAATTGCGCAACAACGGCATGCAGCCAGCACTGTCTTACGTGAAGAGGGACTTTACCAGGTTCACATGGACGGCTGAACTCACTTATCCTGACTAATTACTGTCGTTGCACCACTGGTCTGGAACTTCCTCTGGCAAATTATCTTTCGCATGCGTCTTGGATCTGCGAGGACCGTACAAGATGCTCGGTGAGGCTGCGGTTGCCTCCTTCTGTGGCGGGTTTTTCACTGGACGACCGGCTCGGTTTTGCCTTTCTGTTCCTGCTCGGGACCCGGCCATGCACGTGCCCATGGACCGGTAAGAAAAGATCCGACGAGTCCGCAGAAACGCCTTCCGTCATGCAAAATGGGACCGGGTGGCATTTTGCTCATGCGGACTGTCATTTCCATGCCGATTGTTGGCATCAATCAGGCCACTGAGATTCTCACATTTGCATTTACAGCATTCGTCTGGCTGAGACGTGCGCAATCATTGTTGGTGTTTTCTGCTCCTCATGTCAGTCATGTTCCTGGTTTCCGTCTCCATCACCGTCAAATGCAAAGGGAAGGGGTTGCGCTGTCGAGCATTACGCGGTGTAAGCATGTGCCTCTCGAGTTCAGCGCCTGCTTCAGAATCGCATCGGTTGGTTGGTAAGCATGTGCCTCTCGAGTTCAGCGCCTGCTTCAGAATCGCATCGGTTGGTTGGTGCCGTGTTTTCAAAAATACCCGCAAGTCAGGCTACAAGAGCAATGGAAAGGGAAGATCAGCCGAAGGTAAGGGCAAAGGCAGCTTTGCATTCATCTTGCAATCCAGGTGGAGCCACATGGAGGCCAAGCTATCCGGTTAGCGGAACATGTCGGCTTGGCAAGGTGACACAAAAGAAATGCCTGCAGATGATCGCAAGGGCGAGCGGCCGCATCCTCAGTGTTGGCTGGGCGCCTCGGTGTTTAAGAGTTCTGGGGCTTTGCCTGAGCAATTCTTAACACTCTCAAGGAAGGGCAGCGAGAAAGGCGAAAGAAAGGGTGGAGGAAAAGGCGACAAAGGTGGCAAAGGAAAGGGAGATCCCAAAGGAGACAAAGGCAGGCAGCATGCCATAGAGAAGATGTTGAAAGACAAGATCACTGCGGTTCTTCCCGGGCGACCGCCAGGCAAGGGGAAGAGAGAGGCCTCGATTCTCATCTTAGCTTTTCATCTGCACCTTTCAACACGTCCAACGCCATGCTTCTTCTATTCTAGTCCCTCGCCAACGTTCGCAAGAAGACAGGTCAAAGTGGTCTCAACCGGCTTGAGAGGTAAAGTGATCAAGCCCAGCTGCCCTGTCGGGAAGGGAGTGCAGCTAGGTGTTCCTTGCAGTGGGGCACAAGTCGGCAACCGCCTGAAAGATCCGACAGGGAGATCAGAGCACCAGCTCAAGCGCATGATACGGCCAGGTTCGTGGCTGGCAAGCCAAGTGGCTTCATTCAACGGGCGGATGGAGAGAAGGATGCCTGTGGCCTAGTCAGGTGGACCTTGTCAGCCAGACTTCCTGCTGTAGCTGCAAGGTGTTCTTCGATTTGGCTGATGTTGTGGAAGGGGAGATTGAGGCAAACATCCGAAGTTCAATTTGTTTATAGTTCTATGTTCCTCATGGCAGTGGCAATCCTCTCGAAATCGAGCTGACCTGCCAGGTTGAGGATTTTGTGGAGTTTGATGTCGTTGAAGGTCTGGAGCCCATTGGGCTGTCGGGCGCGAGCTTGGTAGGCCCAGGCAACATGATCACGCGCAGACTGGCTATGGCTGCAGTTCTTGTGCGCAACCCAGGTATGGACAGAAAGTGCTGCTCTCAGAGCATCGGGCATCGGGAATTCTGGCCCACGCACACGGCGGATACGGCGTGCTTAGGCTGTATGGCTCCAAAGTAAAGAAACTTCCAAAGGACACCGACCTGAAAGAGGCTCCGCCATTGCCGCACAGCCGCCGCGCATGCCGTGCACTGCTTGGTGGCTGTGGCACGCCGTGGCACAGGAAGGGCAAGTTCTGAAGTCTACTTCAGTGCACACGGCTTCCAAAGCTGGCTCGCTCACCGGCGGCGGTCTCACTTTAGGCGTCCAAGCACCGGAGTCATTTTCAGCACAGTGTACCAGCAATCTTTCTGTACTCCCGTCTCCGCAGTGCTCGAAGGGTGAGGGAAGGAAACTCGGCCTAGCCGCCTAGCCACGCGGCTCACGGCCATGGCGGTGCAGGAGAGCCATTGAAATTGTGAGGTTCGAGGGCATTGAATCTTCTACAGGGCCAGCTGGACCTCAAGCCTGGAGACCGGCGAGCCCTCAAAGCAAGCATCGCAATGCCCCCAGCAACTGCTTGGAAGCATGGTTGTAGAATTTTGGCTGGAGGCTGGCATGTGCGGGCTGCTTCTATGGAGGCATCGAGACATCGCCAAATGTCGCCAAGAGCCATGCGCAGCCTTGGGATGCAGGCTACAGTTGAGCTGTGCGCCCCACCCCTGTTTTGTTCTGCCCTCAGCTTTTCCAGGCAGCTGCTCAGATAGCTGCACGCACAAACTCAGGCAAGCTCGCCAAGCCTGCGGGTCTCAAGAAGCAGCTCGATCTTGTTTGATGAAGGTTTCAGTTTGGAAGGTGTTCGGGTAAGCTCCGGGAGGTCGACCGCTAAGTCGCGAGCATCTCGCTGGCACGGCGCATGACCCGACCTCAGACTCAGAGATTTGTCTTGGAAAGGCCGGAAGATGCGTTCGAGTCTCGAATATTCTCGAATCGGCCCTGCAGGCGTCATCCTCGCATGCCAGGCTAAAGCCCAGGCCCAAGCCGGTCGCCAAAGTCCAAGCACAGCACAGAACTCCCTGTGAGTTGTGGCCGAACTCTTGCAGCTCCTGCGGCGCTTCTTGCTGGAGCGGGAGCTGGTGGGGCCTCGGTCGTTCCAGAACTTCATGGTAGAGCAAACGGGTGGCCAGGTGCCGCCGCCAACTCCCGTCGGCGCAGGTCATTCGCAGGCCACGAGCTTGCCCAAGCTTGCACTCAGATACCGTCACGCGCATTTATGCATACGATCACGTCCGTGTTTCATCATTCGCAGCCAATGTTCACAATGCTCTTTAGAAAAGTGCTTCCAGGAAAAGGACTGCAGAGCGGGAGAGGCCTAAAGGCCTAAACTGCTCGATAAGGCTCGATATGGTTCGCAGCATGGCATAACTGATGCGCAAGTATGGTGCCCCGAGCCCTAGATTCAAGACCCGAAGGTAAAAAGCCTTGGCTGCAAGGTTACAAATACCCACATGAAAAATTATGTTTGTTGTGTGTATGCTGCTTCGTTGTGGCAAGCTGTCTAAAACCAGGCTCCATCTTGCCGCGCCAAGGGGGGAAGGGGCGGCGTGCGGGGGCAGAATGCTGATCATAGCTTCAGGCTGAGTACATGCTTACATGCTGGCATACCGTGTGGACTCCGAGCCCCATCCAAGAACCCCGCGCGTCTTTGTCATAATCCAACTTTGCATCGTTACAGCCAACCGGGCACGAGGCAACCAAGGCGATCCAAACCAGAAGCCGAGTCTCCACATCATATTATAGCAATGTATCATAATGCTAAGCAGCTCGTCAAGCATAAATGCGCAAGGCAGGCCTGCGCGGGAACCACAGATTCTCGAACCGTCCCGTTCGAGAGGAATGACGAAGTGTCAACAATTCAACAAGGGTCCCAACTGCATCGTCGTCCGCATTCCCCTTTCATCAGCTAGAACGCTGGACCCCCGTGAGTACATGACAATGATGTCAAGTAAAGCGACTACTTAGTGACTACTTGCTGGCATTCAATGTTGCCTGCAAGATTGAGAGACAAGCTCCTTCATTTGCCCTTCAAGTTCACTTGTTTGGGAGTGAGCCGTCGTATGTAAGTTCCAAGAGGTTGGACGCCAAACCAAACATAACGCAACCGTTCCCTGACATGTCGAGAAAATGCGAAGGACAGCATCCAGCAGAGTGCCACTGGCCCAAAGGAAGCGATGCCGACCCCAAGTGAGCACAACCAATTACATGTCGAATGCAGAGGAATCAGGGCTGACGCAGCGGCAGTCCTGTTCGCTCAGGGAGCCAATCCTGCCGAGCCGAACGGGCCCAAACATCCTAAACACAGAAGGGAGCTCCCAGTTTGGAGCAAGACAGTCATGTTGTGTAGCAGCGGGGCAAAGGGTTCCATTCAGCTGCCACAATATATGCCAAATTAACGTATATTGACGGAGCATTCTTCCAAGCTCAAACTGCTTGGCAGGCCGGAAGTCTGCACAAGCGGATGGAGAGGCCTGGATCGGCGTGATGCCGAGCTGACGCGCCTAGAGCCAGCGTTGCGGGCAGATGGCTCGGGATCCAGAAGCAGGGGCCGAACGGGTTTGAACCTGAGTTTTCGGTTGAACTACTCTAGCAACTGTATCTGGAATGCCATGAATAACTTGGCATGCAGGTGGCCCGGGATCCAGAAGCGCCACGTTCGCAGGATCGGAAAGCTCGGTGCCACTTTCCGACAACGTGTAGCTGTGCGTGCACAGTGGACACTTGTCCCGGCCTGCTCGAAAGGCAGCCGAACCCAGCAGGGGTCCGTTCCCAAGACTTCACAATGCTACTCCAGTGATCCATCAAAGTGTCCATCAATGCTGCATGAACGCAAGGTGAAAGCGACGATGGCCTGAAGGGGTTTGTCAGAAAATTGAAGGCGGCACCGCAACTCTATTACCCTACTTTTGTGCACAGATTCTCATGCCATAGTCTGTTCGTTTCGGTGGCAGGAAGATCCTGAGTTTCAGGAGGCCCATGGCGTCTCAAAATGCGCGAGCTGTACTGGAAAAGCTTTGCTTTCCTCACAGGATGTGAAGACATTTTTCACGTCACTCACCGTGGCCCGCAACCTGGCTTACAGCCCTCAACAAAGCACGTCGCCACGATTTCTGCTGTATGTCTGATCGTGCCTACTCAGGCTCTTTTGATCAGAGGTTTCCTGGTCGAGTTGGACGCTCAGGAGGTGACAGCGTTGCACAGCCACCATATGTGGAGTTCATCTCAAGGCCACGCTTTATTCCGTCCTTGTCCATGTACCCGAACTTCGACATAGGCGCCCTATACCGTCTTGTGGGGAAGCGATCGGATATCATGCCTTTTTGTTCAAGGTGACCAGCTCACAGTTGACAAGGTCTCGAAACGTTGGTCGCTGCCCGTGAACAGCATGTCTTGAGCGACAGTTATTGTCCTGCAGCAGTCCACGGTCCTTTCTTCGTGGTGCTCAGGCGCGAGTACCAGCGCAGAGATGTTGTCGTCTTCAACCCACCACCAGCCTTCAGCCTTGTTGTGGGCCATGACCTGAGGGCCGAGGGCAGGTACAGAGTTGGTTTATTAGCTCTATGCAGCAGCTCCGCACGGTATTCACTTGACCCCACCGATCCCGGGACGAAAACACAATCCACACAGGGCAAAGAATCGCGCGACGGCATCATAACCGAAGCGGGCTGGATGGTTTTGGATGTTGTTCCATGTCCCAATCTGGTCCGAGGCGGTGACAGATCTGGAGATGCGTTGATCAAGCGAATTGTCATCATCTCAGTGGGCTAGTTGCACGAGCATGATCGGTATGGTTGGCTCGGCAAGTGTAGCATGCAGCGAATCTTTGACAGCCAGATTCCGGAAGGAGTGACATTTGTTCGTAGCAGGTCGCCCTTGCGGGGGACACGGTTGAGATAAAGAATGGCGGAACTTTGTGCCCCAACCTTGCAGAAAAAGAGTTTGAGAGAGGACTTTGCCAATGTTATGTTGCACGGATGTTGACATGATGAACGTGCCAGACAAAATAGCTACTCGGAGACCTGCCAACTAGCAATTCTTGCAGAGGTACATCAACGGTGAGGCACAGGACGAACCTTTCACGAACGAGGCCCGCCTCCTTGATTTGAGGGTCAAGGCAGAGGTTTCATGCTTCGGCTGCAGGCTGCAAAGTACGACTTTGGACCTATAACAGTTCCAGACGGATGTGTCTTCGTCCTCGGCGACAACAGGAGATCTGATGCTTCGTTTTCTTCATCCCTGGTACGGCTTCAGAGCGCGAAGCACTTTCGCCCTGTGCAGTCTTGGCGCGACTCCATGCAGGAACCAATCTCTGGATGGCCACGTTTGGGGCCCCCTTCCTGTCGAAAACATCATCGGCCGGTTGCTCAGCAACATCTTCGGCACTCCGGCATGATTCGGCATGACGCAAAAGACGAATCACTTTCTCCTGCTCGATTCAGGACGCGCGACTCTGAAGTTTTGGCCACCATGGCATGTTGGTTCTGTCGTCGCAGCTCCGCCTTGAGATGGCCAAATGCATGCGCGACGCTAATGAGCATGGGTGCTTTCGCACTTTATGAGAACGGGCTGCATGGTGCCGCATGTGCCACATGACGGCAAAAGACTTGCATGTTTATGTGGCACACCTGTCTGACAAGGGCAGGATGCTTTTATCGGCACACCTGCCTGACGCCGGATTTTTTTTGTATATCTTAGGTCGGGACCTGCGCAGGGGAATCAAGGGCAAAATTTGTGCAGTACAGCACACTCACTTAAGCAAATTATAGGTATTGGTTTGGGCAAGATAGCCTTTGAAGCTGCTGTTTGCTGGGACTCGCGTTGCCTGTTGCCTGCATCAGGCACTGAGAGCGGTGCGCACTTGTTACATTGACACAAACTCCGCATGTGCTGCAAGCTCCAGCCAGACTTGAAGGACCAAGCAAAGCAGCTGGAAGGCTCTCCGGTCCTGTGTCGGAACCTTGGAGCACTTGGCAGAGTTATATCAGGACACGACGAATTGCAGACATTCTGAGATCCGCAGGTCGCTCAGACCCGGTGGCACACTAGCACCTTTCACAGGCCTCGAAAGCATTCCCGAGAATGCCAGCACAATTGCTTGCAGTCATGTGGTTGTCGCAGGAAGCAGCGCAAAGCCAAAAGAGGATCGGCGACGGGCAAGCAAGATATTGTGAACGGCAATAGCTTTGAGAGTGGATGCAGGAGACCAAGCCGGCCGAGGCAATCGGAGCTGGTGTGGTATGTGGATACAGCATGTCAGACATGTGAGACTAAGTACTGATCAGGTGCATAAAGACGCTAAGACTGAAACTCCAACGAAACAAGGCTTCATCCTAGAGTCTTCGCAGGTCGCGCTAGACCAGAATTTCAAAATCAGAAGCGAGACGTTGCACCGAGATGCCCTTCAACTTGAGAAGACAGCCGAAAGGGTCTTACACGTGCCACTTTCATCCACTTTCCATGACCGTGGAGGCGGCAATACTTAACCGGACACAATGCCCACGCGTCACGCCATAGTTTGTCGTTGAACACCGTCGGCTCGAGTGACGCAGCGACACTTCTGCGTGTGTGACTGCTCCATCTTGCGAGCTGCTCTGTGCATGAAGCCTCACAGCATCGCCACATTCGGGTTTTTGCTGTGCGTCTGGTCTTTCATATATTTAATGGCTGCCGCCAATGC